CGCATGCTAGCATGCATGAGGTCCTGGTTCAGGCTCCAGTACCTCCATTAAATAAATAAAGCTAATCCCCACCCCACCCCACCCCACCCCTCCGACCGCCACCAATAAAAAAAAAAGGAAAGTGAGCACAAAGAGATAGTAACTGTCCAAGGGCAGTCAGCCACTGGAAGCGGTCTTAGGATTTAGCCTCTTCCAGCCCAGCGCCAGCCTGGCCTCTTGGCCATCACTCCACCTGCCTAACTCCCATTACCTGCGTGTCTCCTTCCAGCACTTTTTAGGACCGAGATGCATTCTCGCTGCATGGTTTCCGTACCATCAGTCTCCTCATTAGAACACCTGCAACGTGAGGACTGACACCTTCTCGTCCATCGCTGGCTCCCCAGGGCACAGTGGGCACAGATAATAGAGTGAATCACTTTTGTCTTAAATGATTGAGTGACATTATGTGTGTTTTGTCTCTTTTCCAGAGCAGATTTATTATGCCGGCCCTGTCAATAATCCTGGATTCAAAATTCCCGTGGTAAGATTTTGCTTTTCTGTTTTTTGTTCCTTAATTATTGTATTGAGCAGTTTCTTGAAGGAGGAGATGCAGAAGAGGAGGAGGGCGGGAGAGAGAGGAGAACAGAGGAGGAAGAGGAGAAGGCGGGAATTAAACTGACATCTCAGAACTTTCGTGTTGGCCAGCACTAAGGAGACCCTTTCTCAGCGAAGCTGCCCCCTCATCTTGGGCACTAATGCTTGACATGTGGGTTTTGGCGTTTCGGTATTTAACACTTTTGTCCTGCAGCATCCTCTGGGAAGACACCTCCCACTGAGGAGGATGCCAGTGGCCTGTCCTGCGGGATGTCTGGGGGACCTCCAGGTGGCTAGAGCTGTTGGGGGCGGGGCGAGGGAGGCAGCCAGCGGGAAGCTGGCTTTCCTCTAGTATTGTGAAACTTTCTGTCTTGAGCTCCAATCTGACTGGGGTTGCCAGATGAAATTCAGGACACCCTGGTAAATTTGAATTTCTGATAAACAGCAACTACATGTTTGTACAAATATGACACAGCTAATATGGTTCAGAGAAAAAAAAGAAAAACACAGCCGGGAAAGCCTAAAGGTCCCTTAGTTACTGTCCTTGCACAGTGTTCACCAACTAAATGAAATGCCCACGACTTGCACATGGACCAGGGAGGCCCACAGGTAAGGTACACTTTTCCACTAATTCCTTTTTACTCAACATACTGTGACTTTAGGAAACAGCTGAATTCCAGCAGGTCCGACATAAGCTGTCCATTTTCCACATGCTGCTTCTGAGGCCACCCTGTGGAACAACAGCAGAAGGGTCACCAAAATGTGACAATTTTAACTATTTGGTTTTCAGCTCCATTCTTTCAATCTTTCAAAACCTGTGTGTGAGTCTAGAAAAGTATTTCCTTCATAAAGAATCTGCTGAACTTTGTTTCATTCCTCTATATGCTTCCTTTCTGTCCCAGCCTCTGGGGTCTCCTGTTTAAAGCCATCAAGTCTCCAGGCGGTCTTGGGCTCTGCGCTGGCGCTGCTCTGACAGCTGGGAGGTGTCCAGCCTTCCCTTCCTTCTCTGAGTCCTCCTCCACAGACTCTTCAGGAGAATATGACAGTTTTGCAAACCCTCTTCCCGTCTAGGATGTGAGGCTGAGTGTCTTCCAGTGAGATTTTTCTTTAAATCTTTGCCATTTGAATGCTTTTTCTTTCCCCCTTTTCCTTTGGACCCCCTCCACCCCCCGGCTGGAGAGCGACTTAAAATTTGCAAATAACTGATTTTGTCTTGCACTACTGACTTGATTTTTAAAAACAGTTATCCTTAGCAACTGCTCTGAAACAGAGGGGAAAGAAGTTAGAGTCTCAGGATCCCTTTGAAAGAAAAGTAGCAGAGATGTCAAGAGCTGTACTGCAACCACCCAGGATGCTTGGGTGAGTCCACTGCCTGCCTCCGAAGACCACCAGCAGGGCTCCCTGGGATGCGGCCCAATGTGAGGCCGAGACGGTGGCCAGCTCGCCTGGCCCCGGGCCTGCTTGTTTAAACATCTGCAGACGCTCTCTGCCTGGCCCTCCTATCTCTTCCTCTTCTGAGGCCGGGGCCTGGGAGGCAGAAATCCGGCCAGCCCTGACCCTGCCCCAGGCAGGCCTGACAAGGGACAGAACTGGAGGGGACACATGTGACCTGTCACATATGCAGCAGAGACAGCTGGAGGCCTTAAGCCTAACTTGGGCTCCCACGCTGGCCCAAGACCAGCTCAGTCAGCCCAGAGGCTCCGGGCTGACAGCCAGCCTGCCAGGCTCGGAGACTTTGCTTCCTAATATGGGACAGAAATGGTGCAAAGACTTCTGGTTTTAAAAGACCTACCCGGGATCGCTCCCCACTCCTCCCACCAAATCCCCCGAGATGAGCTCTGTGCCAATTCCATCCCCGCGCAGCCACAGACTTTCCTGCGCAGCAGTCAGTCTGCAGGGCCTTGGTATTATTTTCTTTTAACAACACAGCCGGCCCCTTGGTTGAAGTCCTGCCTGCAGCAGGCATCCGCCTGTGACGGCTGCATTCTGACTTCGAATTCAGAGGCCCTTTGGGCACCCAAAGCGCACGGACAACTTGCAGGTACAGCCCGAACTCAGCCTCAGTGCCGAGGGCACAACTCCTAAGTCGCAAAGCCAGGACTCTCCTCAGCTGCAGAAAGGCCACTGCACTCTGCCCATTGTCCCTCCCCTGTCCCCCTTGTCCTTCTAGCTTGTCCCTCCTCCTGCCTGCAGACGGGCACCATTGCCTGAATCCTCTTGCCCCTTAAACCAGAGTACATATACCTTCTAATTCGTAATCCAGAACCCCTTCCTGATAAAGCAATGATGAAAACTTAAGTTGCTTTTCAGTAATTTTGCGTGGTGTGCACTTCAACACACAGGGAAGTGGTTAAAAGCAATCACAGACACAGGCAATCTATAAGGAAAAAGAATACGAAAACGAATCTATATGCACATGTATGGCTGAAACATTACGCCGTACACCAGAAATTGACACACTGTAAACTGACCATACTTCAATTTTCTTTTAAAAAGTAAATGATGGTGATAATGGGGATGGTGATGATGAAACACCGTCAGATGCAAATGGGAGCTGGTCTTTACTCAGAATTAATTCTCTAACTTTTACACTGTGGGTTGAAGTCCTAACACTGCCTCTGAAATCACAGCCGCTTGATACTTGAGCAGACTCACGGGAGCCTAGACCGTCACAGAATCTTCGGGGTGAGGGGTGCCTTAGGTCACTCTCATGAACCCCCACACCCAAGACGCCATCAGTGTTGGGGAACCCGCTTGCTCCTGGACCTCTGCTAATTGCTGGAAAGTTCTCTTCTGACAAAAACCACTTGTCGTGCAACATCTACCCAGTGGTCTGATTTAGCCCTTCCCTCCGGCTTATGCAGATTGAACCCCTTTCCTTCCCCAGGTGACAGGCTCGTCAAAGATGCTCCAGGAGTTTCTTGAGCGTCCTCTGCCCTGCTTACCGCTACCTCCACCACCCAGAGTGTTTCTCCAGAGAGTCTGCAGACACGACAGCCCCGCGTGGCCGGTGGGGCTGGACAGGGCTTCAGCGATGAGCAACACAGACGTGGCTCAGCCCTGGGTTCCTCCTGCAGATCCACATGCAGCCTGGCTGCAGCCACTCACCATGGACCAAGGGAGTCCTCTGCGGACTGTCATGGCCAGAAAGGGAAAACCTAAAAGGCAGGGATTCTTTTCCTAGGAGTGCGCTTTGGTTTCATGCAGTTGAATCTGGCTCCCTCAGCTGACTTCTCCATCTCAGCAAATGACATTTTAGCCTTCTTGCTACTCAGGCCAGAACATTTGGAGTCATCGTTAACCCATCTCTTTCCCACCCTCATGGGTTTCCCCAGTAAATCACATTGGCTCTTCCTTCAAAATCTATCCAGATTCCCACCCCTCTCCCCATCCCCACTGCCCTCTCCAAACCTTCGCCATCTCCCACCTGCCTTGTTACTGCCACCACCTCGTCCCTGGTCCTAGTCCTTCCTGCCTCTCCCCTGCAGCCTCTTCCCAGCAAAGAGCCAGAGGGCCCCTGTGGACAGAAGAGGCCACTCCTTAGCGAGGAAGCAGCAACCCCACCACGGCGAGCGAGGGCCTCCCCGACCTCATCCCCTCTCCCCATGGGTTCCTCTCCCTGTAGACCCATCAGCCTCCTCACTGTCCCTGCAATGAGGGGCCGCCAACCCCTAGGCAGTGTGGAATGCTCCCGCATCCCCTTCAGGTTTGCTCAAAGGTCACCTTCTCAGGGGACCTGCCTTCGCCACCCTAGTTAAAACTGCAAACCAGCACCAGCCCCCCACCACCCCCTGGGCCACCCAGCATCCCCACCCGCCCCTTCCCTGTGGGACGTCCAACTGAAATGTGAGATGTTCATCTGGGCTGTCTCTCCCAGCGAGCCTGGGAGCCCCCAGGGGTGTGGATCATCCCCCGAGGCTAGAGCAGAGCCTGCGTGTGGCAGAGCTGCACACCACCTGTGGGACGTCGATGCCTCTGTGGGTCACACACCTCCCGCTTTCCCCACACCCTTCCAGGGAGAGTACCAGGTCCTGCTGGAGCTCTACAACGGAGACCACTCCACCGTGGCCTGCGCCAACGCCACCGTCACCTGCTCCTGAGCATCTGCAGGTGCCACCAGCTCTGTCTCCGGGGAACCACAGCCCCTCCCGCTGAACCTGCCGTGAGGAAGGACCAGTCGACAGCAGAGGAAGGCTCCTGGAAGGCGCAGGCACCGATCTCAGGCCCAGGACCAGAGGTCCCCAGACTCCACAGATGCAGTGATGCCCCCAAGGGCCTGCTCCTTAGGAACTCCTGGGGGTCGCCAGGGTCTCAGGGTCCGTCCTCCTTCCCCAAGTGCTCCCCTGACAACCATTCCCTGCTTTTCAGCTCCTGGGGGGCCCTTCTTCAGTCGCCCAGAATAAAGAAACCAGCCCGCAATTGTGCCTTGTGTTCTGTTCAAAGTCTTAGTACAACCCTGGGAGCTATAACGTAATTTCCTCCACATCCAGTGCTGGCTGCTGCCACAGCGGAAGTGACGCTGACAGATTCAGGACCGTGATGGCCCGGCTGCGGTGACGGCACCGGGGACTCAGCTGCTCCTTCTCCCGGGGAAGCCCCGCCCTGGACATGCGGGCCAGAAGCTGATGAAGCCCCACAAACAGTGACGTCACGATCTCACCTGAACAAACTGCGTTTTAACTTCATTCCCCCAAAGCGTGGCCCTCCCAGCGCCAGCGCACTGGGGCTCTCACGACTGCATTCATTCATTCACTCGGTGAGCCACTGCCAGTCACTCCTGCACTGGGCCCTGTGAGTGGCACTTAGGATACTCTGGGGAGGAAAACAGACACACTCCCTGCCTTCATGAAGCTTGCAGTCTCCTGAGATATCAAACAGCCACATACCCACCAGGGGCCACATCCACGTACACACAGAGACACCTCCTTCGATGCCCTCTGTAGATGGTCAGATTGCTCGTCTGTTCCAGAGCCTTTTGGGGATTCCCTGTCTTCTCCTGTCCCTGGATGTGCAGAACCTCACGGTGGGCCCCACTGTCCCTCCCCTCTCCCCTCCCCGCTGTCCCTCTCTTCCCAGCATCCCTGGGCCCCACGGCTGGCCCTCTCGCTTTGGCCAAGGGGCTGGAGTCGCAAGACTGGGAGGGCTTTCTCATCAACAGGTCTTTTACAACCATTAAAACCCCACCATATTAGAGGTTAAAAGAGGAGGAAAATGCAGAGTTTAAAAACATCCATCGCTATTAATCACTGTCTGTACATGGTTGAACTACCCGGAATCGCAGGCCGTAAATGCCTGGTGAATCAAAACCTTAAGACCAGCATCTGAAGTTTTCTGGGTTGTGGAGAGACGAAATTAGAGCAGTGACCGCGGCTACGCCCAAAACGCTCGGAGAGAAGACGTGCTGTGGCCGCGCCAGGCTCGGGGGCAAACCTCTGAGCACACACGGGCCACAGCGTTACGCACTCAGACAGCAAACTCAGTGGCTGACCGGCACCACTCCCTCCAGCGAGACACGCCCTCTTTCAGCAGCATCCCCACGTCCAGCAAGGGCCCTGGGCAGGCTCTGGGAGCTCAGGACAGCTGTCGCCGCCTTCCCAAGACAGGGACAGGAAGGAGGGGACCGGCTCACTTTTTATTTTTCTTGCTAGGCAGCTGTCCCTTCTCCTATTCTTCGCTCTTTTCTTAAAGTTCATTGACAGCGTGCATACGTGTGTGTGTGTGTGTGTGTGTGTGTGTGTGTGTATTTGACAGAGCTTAGATGCTACAGGTTTGGTTAAGCAGGCGTTTCCACACATGCACGAGCTGGCTCTCTCCTTCACTGAGTACACAGGCGCACACAGCAGTTACACTAAAGGTGTGATTTCAGAAAAAAAAGTGTTTCTGCCCCCAAAACATGCCTGTCTTTAGTGTCCGGTCATGAGCCTTAAATGGCACCATGAGTTCCAATCCTGCAAGTTGAGAACGTTTTTCACTGTTTATGAGCCTCCTATTAAAAAATGCGAACAGTCCTGGCAGGAGAAATGCCAGAAGCATTACTGCTGTTTAACACTCCAGCAGAACGTCGTATGTGACTAAGATGCAGTTTGGAATTGTCATCCCAGGAAGCAGGAGGTGCTAAGGGGCAGGTGGGCAACCCAAAGCATGCTCCCTCAGGCCCCTCAGGCTGGCCGTCTGTCTGTGGGCGCCTGGGGCAGGGCCAGGGCTGGGGGTGGAGAACTTAATCACATCTCAACTTCTCATAAATGGTTTGCTACTGCTTCAAAATACACACAAAAAATTTAAATCAGTTTGATTAAAGATTATGCTGGCCCTCCAACCAAAGAATCCTCGTGGAGTAAGCCAGCTTCAGTCATTTGGGGTCCACAGGCTCTTCCTTGTATTTTAAAGGAACCTCTCTCTCCCCACATACACACACACACACACACACACACACACACGTATGTATGTATCTTTTTTAAGATAGATAGATAGATAGATAGATAGATACACACACATGGATATAACATTATACCAAGGCCAAAAATACCTTTTTTAAGGGAATGCCAGTGCCCAAGGAAAGCTTTGCCCGCCTAGGGTCCAGGCAGACCCTGCAGACCCATTGGCTGGTGTGATCGTCCCCCAGGAGAGTGTGGCTGTACCCAGCTCGGTCTGATCACAACATACAGCTCAGCCCTGACGGCGGAGCCCCACGTGGTTCAGGAAGCAGCGTGGTTTGCTGCAAAGGTTCCCACTGCCCTCGGCGCCTCTATTTCTCAGCCGTTCCCTCACCTCTGGCCTCCCTGAATATCGGCTTTGCCCTCAGACGGCCTCTGTAACAGCAAAGAGTCTCCCACTCATCCCAAGCACGAAGGGAGAGAGACCTTTCTTCCAGAGCCCGGCAGTCCCTGCAAGTGCGATGACTTGGGTCACATGACCAACTCCTGGCCAGTCACCCTGGCCCTGTGCTGACTGGCTGCCTGTGTCACATGACCCACCCCCAGAGCTGGACTGGCATTAGTCCCACTGGAACCACACCATTCCCTCGTGGAAACGGGCGTCGGGAAGGACAAAGGGAGGGAAAGGGGGAAGACGCTAGGGGTGGAAGGCATGACTAGAATTAGACGGGCCGGCTTTTCAGTTCTAACTCCCCCAGCTGTTAACTGGGCCAGTGACTTGGATCCTCACCCGTAAGTGTCAACGATATTAACACCTGCCTTACAGAAACAGCACGAGAGTCAGACGCACGGAGGATGCTCAGGACAGCGCCGCGTGTAACTCAGCGAGTGTGAGCTGTGATTACGTAAGGGGGTGCCTGCGTCTTCGCGGAATGCTGCAATAAGAACACCGTAAGCCGGGTGGCTTATTAGCAACAGACATTTATTTCTCACATTTTTCTCATTCACTTCTGGAGGCTGGAAAGTCTAAGACCAAGTCACTGGCAAATTCAGGGTCTGGTGAAGGCCCACGTCCCGGCTCAGAGACAGCCGTCTTTCCCTGTGTCCTCACGTGGAGGGAGGCGTGAGGAAGCCCTCTGGGGTCCCTTTTAGAAGGGCACTAATCACCTACTCACATCCCAAAGACCCACCCCAACACCATCACCCTGGAGGTTAGGATTTCAGCACATGAACCGGGAGGAGGTGGGGGACACGTTCAGTCCGTAACAGGCGGGCACGCACCTTGGAGCTGAAGCCCTGCTCCCTCACTTCCCTGTCACGTCCGTCCCACCGCACTGGGGCACCCCTCACCTGCAAGTCCGGCTTCCCTTCCCTTCTCAGTCCTGACTCAGCTCCTCGGCACCTCGATTTCTTCTAAGTGCAACTGGTTTTATTAGACCTGGGATGGGGGCGTGTTGCCTGAGCTGCGGGCTCAGTCCATGAACTCATAAGAGAATTTAAGGGACACATTCAGGTACAAGTTTCCCCTGAAATAGAAACATTATACCAAGGCCAAAAATACCTAAGAAAGAAAATGTGTGTAATTTTTAATTAAACTTGTTTCCTGTTTTAAAAAAAAAAAGATTCACATTCAAGATGTGAAGAACTAAATGTAACATCTGCAAATTTAACAGTTACATCTGCCTTCAGAAAAAAAAAAATCACCCAAAATAGCTAGTGAGAGAAGAGGCCACATCCTGATTTTAACCTGGACTCGTTGGGGAGAAAAAGCTTGTTATCCCAGCAGATCAGTTTGAATCAGCTGCAGCTTTCTCAGTCGCCCTTCTCAGACAAATTTCCCGTCTAGTTTCCTGGTCCTTCCATCTGGCAAGCAGGGGCCCCGAGGAACTGGGAAAGCACTCTTTGCCATCTAGTTTGTAAATAACTTCAGTTGTTCCATTGGAACTGAAGCCTTCAGCTGCCTTCAAATGCACCAGCCTGATTTTTTTTCTCCTCTAACCCGACTTTCCTTTAAAATGCGTGACAAAACCGGATTCTTTCCTCCAGGATCTTAGTCTCCTCACTCCCGAGGAAAAGAACGTGTGCATCGGCGTTATTTCAGCTTAAAAGAATAATTTCTTCCTCCAACTAATATTTTCATGGATTCTCCGAAACCCAACCGAGGATGGAAGGAAAGAAAACATCCTTGCCACGCAAGCCTGTACCATCTATTATTTATTCTGGTTTCTCCTCCTCTTCTACTACTCAGAAATGGTGGAAGAAAATTTGAAAAGGGGCCAGAGGATGTTACTGATGTGATCAAAGGGACACAGCCAGGTTTCCACAGAAAGGTGGACTAAAAGGTTAAAAACACGTGATACAGAAAGACAACTGGGAAGGCAGAACAAGAAAAATAGTAATAGCAGTTGTTTAAAATGCTGAAAATTATTTCAGCATTTTCTGTGCTAGGTTTTTCACCTGCACCTCAGTGCTTCATCGCAGTACCAGCCCACGGTTCCCAGGTAAGGAAGCCAGCCCCTACCTCCCCAGGCTCACGGGTTCAGCAGCGAGGATTCGAAGCTGCCTGACTCCACCCCAGCCTCTCGCCATCTGACGCTGCCTTGGCTGGCTGGCTGGAGACTAGAGAGTGAGGAGCACCGTGTGGTGAGGGCCTGCAGACGGTGTCAAGCCAAGCAGCAAACAGGCTAAAAACACAAGGTAGAGTAAAAAAGTGTCAGATTAATTCACTGATGAGAACACTCCCGCTCTCCCTCCACCACCACCCAAAAAAGACCGTGGATGTTCACAAGGAGTAACCTGATTTGAGTTCCATGAGCTGGAGGAATGCCACTCTGCTTTTCAACCAAAAAAAAAAAGAACTTTGATCATCTGCAGTCAAACTCACGCAGATGAGTGCACCAGACTGTAGCATGTTGTGTCTCCTCCCTCCCTCCCTCCCTCTCTCTCTTCTTTCCTTCCTTCCTCCGGTAAATCTTTTTCAGCACTGACTACTTGCTGGCCACTGTATTAAACAGAACATAAAATACAGAACAGAGAATATAAAAATGAATAATATAGAATTCCTGTCCGAAATCCACTTACAGTTCAGGAAAAGGGAGGAAGGAAAGTACTGAAGGTCTCCTAGGACGGGGAGCCTGTGGTAAGTCACAGAAGAGGAGGATGAACAAACGTGGGTCTGGTGGGGGTGACACACGGGTTGGCTTCGTGGTGGACGGAGCACGTGAGCTGTCAGGATGGGTGGGACTTTAGAGGTCCCGGCGCCCACGGCTGGCGCTGTCTCAGCTTTGGTTGCCCAGCTGTCAGCCCTGGTGGTTCATTCCTAAGGACCAGGACAAGCTGCATTTCTGCCACCATTAGAACTGTTTCAGACAAAATAAAGTATAAAATGGCACAGGCTTTTGCCCAAGCACAGGCTTTTTTGTTAATACTAAGTTGTGACTCCAGGAGCTCAACAATTTAGCAGGTGTTTTTGTTTTCCCTTTTTTATTTGTTTTAAATTCTTATTTTTATTGAAGTGTAGTTGATTTACAATGCTAGTTCCAGGTGTACAGCAAAGCAATTCAGCTACATATATGTATTTTTTTCAGATTCTTTTCCATTCTAGCTCATTACAAGAAATTGATCATAGTTCCCCGTGCTGTACAGCAGGTCCTTCCTGTTCACCTGTTTTATATACAGCAATGTCAGCAGGTGTGTACTGAGGTCAGCTGTGGGCCCAGATCTCACCCAAGTCCGTGCCCCTACCAGAGCCCCAAACTTTGGAGACACAAACAAACATTCAGACCTCACACTGATCTCCATTCTTCCTTCTCTCACTTCATTTTTGGCAATGAAATGAAAGGAATGGAAAGACAGCTTAACACAAAACTCTTCTACTGAAAATTAATTATCCCAACCACTGAAAAGAAAGGTTAATTATGTAATGTGACAGAAGCACTAAACATCACTCCCACAGCAATCGGATTAGCACGTGCCAATGTATCAAATTAACACCTTGCACACCTTAAATTTGCACCATGTAGTATGTCAATATACTCAATTTTTTTAAAAAAGTAAAGAAGGAGAAAAATCCCTGTATTATTCACCTGCCCACGTCCGCAGCAAGTAGTAATGACTCTCTTTGCCAATCTGGGTGACAAATGTCATATCTGGAGTCATTTAGAAGAACAAAGGTGCTTTTCACTCCTGCCTCGTTCCCTAGTCACAATCCTTCATCATCATATTGGATTTGCCCATTGTTGCCTCCCAGGGTACCAGACTATTCGTTTGTCTGAGTCGAGGTGTTTTTTCCTTCACTTTCACAGCCTGAGGGCTGTCTGTCTGCAGTTGTTTGGTTTTTGTTCAGTTGTTTTCATTGGGTTTCAATATTTTGTTCAACATTGTACGTGTTTTGACTGCACTATTTCACAGCCACATTCAGGCTTCCAGAACCCGGGGCTCGGGAACAAGCCCCCGAGGGCATCCCTGGATGCTGGGGCTCACCTGCTCTCCCGCTCAGGGGCGCATTCCCAGAGGCTGGAGACAAACAGCCCTAAAAACTGGGAATTAAAAACCAGCACAGCTGTAGAAGGAAACCAACCCTCCTCGTAGCAAAGGACACCGTGTCAACTCCTCCGGCTGTTTCGGCCGGAGCGGTGACGTCGGCCCCGCCCTGGGGGCGAGCTCTGGGGGCGGGGGCGGGGTGAGAGGAGGGCCTGCCGTCCCGGGGCCCCACCCAGCCCCGCGCATGCGCCGCCGCGCCTCCGGGACAGAGAGGCGGCAGCCAGGAGCTGACTCGCCGGGGATTCCGGGCCCCCCGGGCGCTCTGTGGGGGCCCCCCTGGCAGTGGGATACAGGGTGTGACACAGCGGAGCAGGGCTTGCTGCACGAACCCGGGGGACCCGGCACAAAGCGGGGAGGGGGGAGCCAGGCCTGGGCCCGGGCGCCCCGCTGCCCCCATGCCGCGCCTTCCTGCAGCCTCGAGAGCTTGGAAAACGGCCCGGGGGAGGTGCCCGAGAATGAGATAGCAAAGCACTGCCCTTCTGCTGACAGAGGATCCAGAAATAATACGGAATGTTCGGAGAGTCCGCAGAGATCCCCTGATATGCAAGTGGAGGGATCCGTCCGTGACCTTTGATGCAGTGGTTGTCGTCAGAGCGTCTTTATAGGAACCCGGGGACTGACACCTAAGACGGTCCAGCTTTGCTGGTGGGCAGGGTTCCCCTCCCCCAGAGCCACTCCGGGATGGGAATCTCATTTCCTCACCAAGCGCTCCCTCCCCACCTCCTTCTGTTTCTGCAGGGACACGGGGGAGTCCTCTTGGACCTCCTGTAACCTCCGCACTGTCCTTATTTGATTGTTTTCCGTCTGCTGGACGACAGGCAGGATGTGCTGCTCCTGCTGTGAAGAGTCCCTTCCTCACCCTCCCCTCTGGGATAAGCATTAGACTCTCATCTCATGTCTGTCTTTGTTCTGGACTGAGCACCCCCTCACCCCCTACAGCGTATCAGTTCACCTCACTCCCAAAGCAAATATGCCGGGGCCGGGGGGGGGGGGTTGACTGGAGAAGAAACACCAAACTCACAGTAACTTAGTAAGTACTAGACCTCTATGTATGTGATAAGAGTGAAATATATAGGAAACATGGGCCTAGCTACAGGCAGTATTTATAACTAATAGTTATTCACTAACCGCTTGGAGATTTTTTCAGTCCCTTCCTCTCCAGGCTCCACAAAAACCAGATACCAGTTCAACCTCAGGGTCATGAGCCAAAAGCCATATAACAAAGTTTCAGACTAGCAAGTTAACTGGGAGGTAGTAATTAAGCTAATGAGAATACAATTAGAGTTTCCATTGGATCCACTCTTAACTATGACAAGGACAAGCCTTCCATGTATAGAACAGGCTTTATTTCAAAAAAACAAATGCCTTGTCCTGTAGCCAGACCAGTGCCAGGCCTGGGAGTCCCACTGGGATAGATGGCACCTTTGAGTGCCCCTTCCCAGGGGAACCAGATTCATTGCTTATCTCTTGGCAAGAAGATGACACCTTTGTGCAAAGAAAAGGGGTACCCATCCTCTGGGCAGACACATGACTTAGTAAGTGAGCACATGCTGGATTTCAGTCTCCAGTCTCCTCTTGTGCAGTCAGCAACCTACACAACCTTACCCAGTGACTCAAGCCAAGCTTTGGAATCCTCTCCCACCGCAAGGCGTATGTCCCAGAAAGAAAGCTAAATAACAGGAATATGCTGCCTCAGGAAGGCATCAGTCTCTACCCGTTGATTGGTGGTCCCTGATCTCACCTTCACCCCACCCTACCCAGTCCCCACTCACCTCTACCAACCAACCAAACTTAGTAAGGGGACACCCTAGCTAAGACTTATTCTGGAGGCAAAACTGCTAAGTGAAACAAACACGTTGACTGACATTTCTCTAACCTTGTTTGCTCCTTGACATTTTTCATATCGACTTGGAACTCAGCTTATTCTGTTATAAAACAGTCATTTACAACCTTGTTCCATGATCCAAAATGCCACTACGTCATTTTTGGAACATCATTCCCTCTGAGACGCTGTCTGTCTCTGGTGTCCAGGCTGGGTTAAAGGTCCGCCTTGGGGCTCCCCTGCATCTTCCCCTTGGCTTCACTGTGATGTGACACTGGCCGCATCCTACCATAATTACTCATTTACTTTTTAATTGAAGTCAGTTACAATGTGCCAATTTCTGGTGCACAGTATAATGCCCCAGTCATACATATATATACATATGTTCATTTTCTTATTATTTTTCATTGGAGGCTATTACAAGATATTGAATGTAGTTCCCTGCGCTATACCGAAGAAATCTGTTTTTTACCTATTTTTTATATAGTAGTTAGTATTTGCAAATCTCAAACTCCCAAATTTATCCCTTCCCACCTCCTTTCCCCCAGTAACCATAAGATTGTTTACTATGTCTGCGAGTCTGTTTCTGTTTTTCAGATGTGTTCGTTAGTGTCTTCTGAAATTTTTTATTTGATTTTTTTTAAGAGG